AAATCATCTCCGTGGGGTTCAATTCGCTCCTCCCGGCTCCAATTTAAAAACAAAAAACCCCTCGGAATTCCCGGATTTGTCTGTAAGAAAATTCCCGCCGATCCCGGCTCATTTTTAAGGAGAAAAAAAAATGAGAATTTCGGGAAAAACTTGGATAGGGAGGGAAGGGGAAACCTCCATGGATGGGCGGAAAATGGGGAAAAAAACGGGGCTGGAGGAGCCCCAAAATTTGTTATTCCTCCTTTTCACTTTTATAATTTTTTTGGGATTTCTCCTTTCCGGATTAATTTGGACCAAAGTGGGAATTTCAGGTGAGGTTTTAATGGAAAAATAGAAAAAATAAAAATGGGAAACGCTGGGATTTAAATGCGCGGAGCTGGGAATGAGGGGAGGGAAATTTGAATTCTTTATCCCTGGCGGTGTTTTAGGTTCTGCTTATCCCGGAGAGGGGAAAAAAAAAAAAAGGGAAAAAATTCCCGAAATTCCCAAAAATTCCTAAAATCCCCCAAAATCGGTGACGCGGCGCTGAGCTCGTGTCCCGTTAATTCCCATTTGTTAAAATTCCTCCACCCCGGCGGGAATTCCCGATTTTTGGAGGAATTTTGGGATGGGAAGGGTCCGAGTTTGGAATCTGCGGCTCCCGTGGGATTTGGGATTTTTCCCGATGGTCCCAAATCCCTCCGGGGTTGTTTTTTTTTTTTTTTCCAGTTTAATCCTGGAGCCGCGTCCTGGGATTGGAATTCCCTTGGGATTCTTTTGGGAATTATTTGGGAATTATTTGGGAATTATTTGGGAATTATTTGGGAATTTGGGACAGTCCTGGGCAGGGGGACAGGAGCCCCAAGGCCTCCCCAAAATCCTTTGGGATTTGGGGATTTTGGGATTTCCCTTGGGAATGACGGGGAAATGGGGTGGAGGGGCTGGGGGGACAGGAGGGAGGGACTGGGATTTGGGATTTTGGGATTGGGAATTTGGGATTTGGGGGATTTGGGATTCAGGAATTGGGATTGGGATTTGGGGACTGGGATTTGGGGACTGGGAATTTGGGATTTGGGGGATTGGGGATTTGGGGGATTGGGGATTCAGGAATTGGGATTTGGGGGATTGGGGATTTGGAGATTGGGGGATTTGGGAATTTGGGGATTTGGATTTGGGGATTCGGGATTTGGGGATTGGGGGACTGGGAATTTGGGGATTGGGATTTGGGATTTGGAGATTTGGGATTGTCTCATCCCAAACCTTGTCCTTGTCCCCTGGTCCTGCCTGTTCCTCTTGTTCCCGATTTTTCCTGGTCCCTTTGTCCCCTCTCCTGGTTTTTTTCAGGTCCCCATTTTTCATCCCATTTTCCTCCTGTTCCCATTTTTCCCGAGCCTAAAGTCTCATCCTTGTCCCCTCTCCTGATCCCAAATGTCTCCTTGGCCCCTGCTCCTTTCTCCTGATCCAGTTTTTTTTTTTTTCCCACTTTTCCTTGTCCCCATTTCCTGGTCCCCTTTATTCCATGTTTTGCTCACGTTTTCCCCTCTCCTGGTTCTTCCTGTCCCCAATTCCTGCTCTCCTTTATTTCCCTCTCCTCACCCCCAGAATTCCATGAGGGATTAATGCCAAAAAAAAAAAAAAAAAAAAAAATTTGGAGATCAACCCAACCCCTCCAGCCCCAAAATCAGGAATTTTCCCCCAAAGCTTTTCCCTCCCTGCTGCATCCTCAGCCTCAGTGTTGGAGCTGGCACCGAATTTTTCCTTTCTCCATCATTTTGGCCATCCCTGGACAACGTTTCCCACATTTTGGGATGGTTTGTGTGGTTTTTTTTCATTTCTCCCGCAGACAGGATTTTCTCCTTTCACCAACAACCCCAAAGTGGAAAAAAAAAAAAACAAACAGGGAGAAAAATCCCTTTAAAACAGGTAAAAAAAAAAAAATCCCTGCGAGACAGAACAATTTTTTTCCCAAAGCAAACACTGGAAAAACGAGTTTGTAAATGGATTTTTTGGGTTTTGTTTTTATCCCCCCGTGCAGAACCTGCCTTGATTTCCCCATCCCCCCCAGGCTGGATCATTCCCCCTTTCCCGAGCCGTTTTTCCAGACTTTTTTCTGGCAGCTGAACGTGCAGGGGCCTCCCCTTCTCAGACATTTCCCAGGCTCCACGTCACGTTTGCTGCAGGGCTTGGAAGGGGGGAAAAAAAAAATGGGGAAAACCGAGGGAAAAAAAAAAAAAATCCTGTTTTTCCTCTGAGAGAAGCTTGGGAGGTCTCGGTGTTATTTAATTAAATTTAATTAATGTGTTTTTAAAGCCTGGCTGTTGGAAAGGGATGAAAACATTTCGGGTTGCTGAAATCCAAGGGAATGGGGAGAATTTGGGGTTGGCTCCGTGGGATTGGAGAAAACAATTCCGGTTCTTTAGGATGGGGAATGCTGGGGGGAGGCTCCTGAGCTGCTTTTTTTTCCTTAAAAATTCAGTTTTAGGGGAAAAACGGCGTCCAGGGGAGCAGGGAAAGGGGAGAATGGGGCAGAGCTGGATCCCGGGGTTTGGGTGGTGCTGGAGCCCTCGGGGGAATTTTTGTGTTGGAAAAGTGGTGGGAGATTGTCCCAGAGGTGGGAGATTGTCCCAGTGGTGGGAGATTGTCCCAGAGGTGGGAGATTGTCCCAGTGGTGGGAGATTGTCCCAGTGGTGGGATGGGAGCAGCTGCCACAGGATCCAGGAGATTTCCCCTCCAACCACATCCCAAGGGACCCCCCAGGTCACATCCCACTCCAGGTGACCCCCAAATCCCCCCAAATCCCCCAAAATCCACCCCAGGGGCTCCTCGGAGCCCATCCCATGGAGCTGCCATCCCACATGGCCCCAAATCCCACAATGGATGATCCCTCAGGATCCATCCCAGATAATCTTTATTCCAAATCCCACACTGGGTGATCCCACAGATCCCATCCCAGGTTATTCCTACCCCAGGAATTGCTGGGAATAATTCCATTTATTCCATTGATTCCATTGATTCCATCCCAGTCCTGTCTTAGATGATCCCACAGAACCCATCCCAGATGATCCCTCAGGAGCCATTCCAGGTGATTTCCTATCCCAGGTGATTCCCAGTTCCTATCCAGGGGATCCCCATCCCAAATCCCACACCAGACCCATCCCGGGTGACCCCACATTCCACCCTGGATGAACCCCCAGGTCCAATCCCAGACGATTCCCAGTTCCACATCCCATCCTTCAAGCCCCACCCCCCGGTGCAGGGAACATCCTGACCAAATTTTAGGGTGGAAAATTGGGATCAGGGATCCTCCAAACTCCCCAGGCTCCAAGTGCATCCCCTGGACCTCGATTAATTTCATTATTAACCAACACTGGATGCAATTCCATCCATTGGTCATGGATCTGCTGGGCTGGGTCCTGAAATTCCATCAGCTCCTTCTCCTCCAGAGGGATAATTTGGGGATGAAAAAAACCTGGATTTGGGAATTGAAATCCCCTCCTTTCCCAGTGCTGGAAAAAACGGGACCATCCTGTCCATCCCAAGGGATGCTGGCTGGAATCTTCTCTTCCTGAGCACCAAATTCAGGGAAAAATGGGAAAACGTGGATAAACTTTGTGTGTTGTTGATCCAGCTTCCTATTCAGGATCATCCTTTGGAAAAACCAACCTGGGATAAGTGGAGTGGAAAAAAAAAAAAACGCTCCAGAAATTAAACAACCCGAAAATAGAAAGAGAAAAAAAAAAAAAGGTCAGGCCTAAAAATACCAGGATCAGTTTGGATTTGGATCCTGGCATGAAATAAATAATCCTGGTTTTTGGGAAGGTCTAATTTTAGCCATCCCATTACAATAGCCCGGGGTGACCCTGGCACTGTGGAATTTTTTCCAGCTGGATTTTGCTGGATTTGGGGATTTTGGGGGCTGGACTTTGCCCTGTTCTCATGCTGGGAGTGTGAGGGAGAAGGTGCTGGGAGCGAGCGTGGGTGTGCTGGGCTGTGCCAGGACCTGCCCGGTTTTCCTGGGAAAACAACTGGGATTGCCAAAGCTCCCGGCCCTGGGGATGGGCTGGAAGTGGGGCTGAAGTCGTGGCAGATCCCAGAACATTCATTAAATCCATTAAAATGAATTTTCCTTCAAATTCCCCTGTGGAGGGAATGACCCCAATGCAGGATTCCCCCTCGCCGTGGGGTTACAGCAGCCAAGGTGAAGCTTTGGGATGGGGATTAGGGATAAATTCAGTTTTCCTTAGCTCTGAAAAGGGAAAAGCAGCCCTGAGATGCTGCGGGTGCAGACAGATCCCAAAAGGGATGAGATTTGGGATGGGGACAGCCACATCCTGGCCTCCTGCAGCTTTCCAGCTTTTTGGGAGAAGGGATGGAATGGGAAGAGGATGGAGATGGGGGACAGGGGTTGAGCCTGACCAGGACGATTTCAGGGAATATTTTTTTGCAGGGATCCCAAGGAGAAGCCGAATGAAGCCACCAGGATGTGGGGGGGATTTTTTTTTTTATTGGACTCAGGGATGTCAGGGAATGTTCAGTGGCCTCTGGAATATCTACAGGCACGAGACATCCCACGGGGACCCCACATCCATCTGCAAATCCGATGCAGACGCCGGTTGGTGACGCTCCAGCTGGGATAAAAGAGGATTTTTCCAGCCTGGAGAAGGTGGGAGGGGATGGAGGGGGAGAACCACCACCACAACCTCTGTTCCCTATGGGAAAAAAAAAAAGAAGAAGAAGAAGAAGAAGGAAAAATTAAAACCAACGAAACATTGATTTTTCCAACCACCAACACGAGGATGGGGTAGAGCCGAGACGCGGGGATTTTCCATGGACGCCGGGAGTTACCTGGAGCTGCCTGATGAAGGCCATCACTTCTCCGTCATCATCCTCACGAACTCCTCGTAGTTGACCTGCCCGTCGTTGTTGCAGTCCGCCTCCTTGATCATCTCGTCCACCTCCTCGTCCGTCAGCTTCTCTCCCAGGTTGGTCATGACGTGCCGCAGCTCGGCCGCGCTGATGTAGCCGTTCCCGTCCTTATCAAACACCCGGAACGCCTCCCGGATCTCCTCCTCGCTGTCCGTGTCCCTCATCTTCCTCGCCATCAGCGACAGGAACTCGGGGAAATCGATGGTGCCGCTGCCGTCGGCGTCCACCTCGCCCACCATGTCCTGCAGCTCGGCCTCGGTGGGGTTCTGGCCCAGCGAGCGCATGACGGTGCCCAGCTCCCGCGTGGTGATGCAGCCGTCGCCGTCGCGGTCGAAGAGGGAAAAAGCTTCCTTGAATTCCGCGATTTTCTCCTCCGACAGCCGCTCGGCCATGGCGCTTCCCCTGCGAGCACGCACCTCTGTCCCGGCACGTCGGGGCAGCGCCGGCGGGGAGGGGATGGATGGATGGAGCCTCCTCCTTCCTTCCCTGGATCAGCAGCGGGAGGAGGAGGAGGCAGGAATGGCAATGGATGAGGAAGTTTTGGGAGCTGGGGAAGAAGAGAGACCCAACCCCCGCGGGTCAGATGCCGACAGAGCCCTCGTTAGGGGATTTGGGCTCCGGGCTGAGGCGGGGGTTTTCCCAGTTTTAGGGATGTTTCGGGGAGGTTTGGAGCTGTACAAAGGAGTTGGAGGGGTCTCCCCCCGGTGCCCCCAGCCCCAGGCGGTGCTGGCAGCGCATCAGAGGCTCCCGGGGAGGATCCCCCGTGCGGGTCCCGGCACGTCCCGGAGTCACCGGCGGGGCCGGAGCGGGGGGGCCGGGGGGTCCTGCCCTGTTACTCAGGGCTGAGCTGAGCCTTCATTGTCAGGTGGGGTTTACTCATCTCTTACTCAGGGAGTGAAGGAGGGGACGGTGACAAATGAGGAGGTGTTTCTCCATTCATCCATCCATGGTTCCCATCTATCCATGGATCCCATTCATCCATCCCTCCACCCATGGATCCCATCCCTCCATCCCTCTGTGCCCACAGCAGTCCCATGACCTTCCCCAGCCGGATCAAGGAGCTGCAGCACCAGGAAGTTCCACAGCAGAAAAGAATTCGACTTTCTCAGCTACGGGAAATGGGCACCAGTTGGTCCCAGTTTAACCCAGTGAGGAATTAGAGCTGTGGGATTTGGAGGGAAGGGCACGAACCAAAACCCAGCCCATGGGACACCTGGGGAACGGTGGGATAAATCCGGGAGGGGAATGTTCTCCTGGGGAAAACCTCGCGTGGAAAAGCTCTGGGCGTGTGGAAGGCTGCAATTCCCAGGAGGAATTGTGGGAACCTGTCTGGTGAGCGGTTTCGGGGAGGGGAGGCCCTGGCAGCTCCTCTTGTGCAAGAGCTGCTCCCTAATTATCTGTCTGATTGGCCTCACTGGCTGTTCTGCTCCACATTTAATTAGATCCGACCCAAACTGCCGGGGCAGAGCCAAGGGAAGGCGGGGCTGGCTTGGATCCACCTGGGAGAAGCAAATCCTGAAGGATCACCGGGGGTTTGGAGGATTGGGAGGGTTCAGGTGTGGGAGAGGGGGTGGAGCTGAAATGGGGGGGGGATTTGGGGTCCCTGTGACACCTGGCTGAGGGTGCAGGGGCTGTGCTGTCCTTGGTGTGGATCGAAGCTGGAATCTGCTGCTTCCTTCCCGTGAAATCCCCGTGACTGGTATCCCAAAGCTCCCATCCCAAAGCTCCCATCCCAACCCCGTGACCAGCACCCATCATCTCCCCATGACCTCTGTGTGACCAGCACCCATCACTTCTCATTCCATTCCATTCCATTCCCATGACCAGCACCCATCACCTCCCATCCCATTCCTTCACATCCCTGTGACCAGCACCCATTGCCAGCACTCAGCATCTCCCATCCCATGGATCCCATCCCATCTCCATGTTCACAATTTCAATTTTGTCTGTGCTTAACTGCACCTCATTTATCAGGATAATTATCCCAGTAAAGCTTCCTGCTGGCCCATAAATGAATCCCTTGATTTATGGCCCAATCCTATTTACAGTGGGTGGGCTGTGGGGTGGGACAGGGAAGGGGAGACCACCGTGCAGGGTTTTTGGCAGCTGAATTTCCCGGGATGTCTCCACCTGGAGCTGGAAAAGTTGGTGCTTTGATGAAGGAGGGCCCCGTTAAAGCCTCACACGGAGTTTTTCCAGGCTCGGTGTCTGGTTTTGAGGGGCCTAATCCAAGGAATAGGGGGAAAAATCGCCCCAATGCAGAAGGTGAAAAGCTTCCAGTTGGATTCTCCCGAGGCGGCTCGGCTGGGAAGGCCAGCCCAGATGTGCACAGATGTGTCTGGGTTTGCAGCTGCAGACACAGCAGGGGAGGGGGCTGGGAGGGGGATGAATTCATGGAAAAAGAGAAAGTTGGGAGGTGGAGAGGGAAACGGCTCCGACAGGGAAAGCTCCGTGGGGCCCCGAGCCCAGACAGAGCCCAGAGCAGCCGCGGGGAGGGGGAGGAACCTCCACAAATCCCGGCAAAAACCGCAGCGAGGTTTAGTGTGGAAAAGGGGATTTGGGGGAGGGCTGATCCCACCAGGGCTGCGAGGGTCTCAGAGCTGATGCCGGAGTGAAGTTTGGGATTTGGTGACTTTGCTTCCACGGACGTTCCCTAATCCAAGGAGGAAGCGAAGGGCAGTTCCTGAGCTGGAGGGAAGGGAATGGCAGCTGTCAGGCTGGAGGATTGGGATGCGGGAATCCCGGCCCCACGGTGACCCACGGGCACTCCCTGGAGGTGTGGAGCTGGGTGGATCCCCAAGGCAAACACGGATCCGCATCCACGGGCGCCTTCCCTGCCCTTTCCCGGCACGGGAGTGGCACCGCGGGCTCCCCTCTGCCCTCGGGAATTTTATCCTGCTGGATCCCGGGGTCCCACAGCCGGGGGATGGGGGGTCCTGGCTGGGCAGAGAGCCGGGATTCCGTGGAATTCAGCACGGGAGGAATCCAGGGGGGCAGAGCGGGGCTTGTTTTGTTTAGTCTGGAGAAGGGAGGGCTGCACATTCCTGTCAGGGACAGAGCAGCGACGGGAACCAGCAGGAGCCGGGGGGAATTATTGAAAGGGAATTACTTCCAAAGGGAATTCAGGATTTTTTGGCTGATGAGGAGACAAAGACGGAGCCCAGCCCTGCTCCGGGAGGACACGCAGACAATCCATGGGATTTCCTCTCCCTGTGCTCCACTGATGC